TTACGTGCTCTTTCCTATGCTTTTGTTGGTCAAGCAATGAGGGCATTGCTTTTTTTTTTTAAGTGTGGGGGAGAAGTTTGCGTGATTATGCATGCTCTAGGCGTATTTTCTTTTCGTTTAGTTGTGTCGTGGATTGGTTTTGTATTTTTTTGTGTGTTTTGTGTCGATTTCCTTATATGAGAATTGATGTGAGTCCAATTGCTCAGAATGACTAAGTGGCTAGATTGGATTGTCGTTTGTGTTCATTATTAACTCTCATGCTTTATGTGCTCAATGATTTTGACGGTTTTTATAAAATGAAATGATTATTTGTTGGCATTGGAACTCGCATGTGAATTCACGAGACTTTCTTGTCCTTTGTTCGTTCTTGATTGAGGATCTTGATCATGCTTGCCTTATGTTCGATTGTTGATTAAACGTGTTATGCTATACACTTTGTGTACGTAGTGATTGAGTTTTGATGATTATGATTGTATTCGTGATGTACCTTTGTGTGCCGCCCCCTAAAAAAAAAAGAATATAAAGTGAGTTCACGAGGAAGCATGGATTAGGCTCCTCTTATTCCGAGCCACTTAGTGGATTGGGATAATGAGCCTGGAAACCGGTCTAGGGAACTCGAGGAAACCCCTCGAGGTTAAACCTAGCGAATCTCGTCCGGAAACCTCGTTTGGAAAGAGAAGCTCACGAAATGAGTTCGTGGGAGTCGAAAGGATTAGGCTCCTCTTGGCTCGGTTAATCTTCTAGATAGATCGGGTCAATGAGCACGGGAAACCGACCTAGGTGACTCGGGAATAACCCCCGAGGTTAAACCTAGGTAATAATCGTCCTAACGGCTTCCATTTGGAAAAAGTGTCTCATTTAAAAAAAAATGGAAAAAATGAAAAGAAAAATGGGGGTTGGCTTATGGTCTCGATTTTATTATCCTATACATTGAGTAGACCGTTTTGAGCTCTTTGCACGTGTTTTATTGTAAAAGGAAGTTTGCATTGAGTAAATCATGATTGAATAACTTGGGACTTGTTTCTGTTTTGTTGGATTCACATGTGGGAACCGTGCTCTCGAGTTTGAGTTTTATTTTATAAATAACCGAGTGATTAGGAGAGTACATAATGCATGTTCGTTGATCTTGGACCGCTCGATCTCTGCTTTCAACACTACTTGTTGTTTTGTTTGCTTGAGGACTGTTGTAGCAAATTATTTTTATTTTTACCGAGAACCGAATCAAAAGATTCGTTCCCCGGGTCGATCTCTCAAGGAAGACGGTTCGGAATTTAGTGTTGGTATTGATCACAC